CGTGCATTTAGGGAAGAAAGATATCCTGGTTAAGTGGGAAACTGTGCGGATGGCTTCTGGAAGACCTTCGTTCTAAGCCAGCTTTAAGGGAAAACCTTTCATTTAGAAGTCAGGGCCTTCTTTCTTCAATTTGCTGTAATCCACATTCACTGAGTAGAACTTGTATTGCTCATTGGGGCCCAGTTTATTCCATGGTTCTGGGTTATTCTTTCTGTCCCAACTAACATCTGGATTAAACAATGCCAGACGCATGACATACAGTGCTGTTCCCGTACCTCCATCTCCAATAAACACAAAGGGAGGTATCAAGCTTGAGTGTTTCTTGGCCTGACTGAGGATCTGGCGAAGCATGTTTGTGGACGAGGCCTCAGGTCCGGAAGGAAGAAACGAAGCCGGCAGGCCCAGAACCTAGGACTTTCTGCTCCTTGTATCCATAACTCACTTTTAATGATAAATTTCTTACAGATGGAAGTATAAGCCCTATAGAAGAGCTCAATGTTTGATGGCGAAATAGGCACACCCTACCCTTACAGCCATGGCCAGCTCCAAAAGCAGGACATTAACCAGCACTCTGAAAGCCCTTGTGCTCTCCCCTCAGGATGTATCTACAAAATAAGCCTGATCCATTCATATAGAAGTCTAAAACCTAAAATTAGTTTTACCTGGTTCTAGAATTTACATGGACTTCTGGTGTGGTGCTGTGGGTTAGTGCACCAGACTGCAAGGTCGGTTTGAACCACAAGGTTGGCAGTTCAAGCTCACCACTCACTCCTCAGAAACCCCATACAGGGTGGCTATGGGTCAGAACCAACTCGATGAAACATAACAACAACAACAATAGACTTTAAATGGAGCCCTGGTCTGACGCTGAAGGATAAGCATAGGACCACGAGGTGAATTTGAACCACAAACTCACCAGCTGCTCCTTGGAAACCCTATAGAGGTTGCTATGAATAGTCACCCTGAATTCCCTGGGTGGTGCAGATGGCTAACATTCTTGGTGACGCACCAAAACGATGACTGTTCAAGTACACCTAGAGATGCCGCCGAAGAAAGGCCTGGAGATTCACTTCTGAAAACTCCACAGAGCACAGTTCTACTCAGACACTGATGTCAACTTTTTCATAGTCACATTAGGGCAAACGCTGTAAGAGTTTGGTGATGGGACACTTCTACTTCTGAATACCTCAGGTGGGACTCAGAGAGCCATGAAGATGTCTACCTTTGAACCAGCTTTTCAGGGAACATTACTATTAGGTTATAAACAGCAGCCGAATCAGCACCTAAGTTAGCTATTTAAGAGAATTACCAGCGAGGCTTTGGTGGGTTCCAGCCGGTATCATAAAGTGGTAACAAAAACCATTCTTCATTCTTCAGTAGCCTGAAGAAAAACCTTTGAAAAATCCCTCTTGGGTGCAGCTTCAGCAGCTTTGCCATCTTGAAAAATTTATTCCCGTGCTTTCACAACCCTCAGCACACAGATTTTTCTAAATCAAGTCAAAACATCCAGCCCAGATTACAGCCCGGGAATCACTCACACTGACCAGAATGCTGGGTCTGAGCCCTTCAAATATAGCTGCATTCTGCCAACAGAAATACTTCTTGACAATTGCTCCTTGTTATCTCAGGAAAAATTCTCTTTGACTATTCATGATCATAGACTGAATATGAGAAGAGATCCAGTGTATAAGTATTTTGTCCATGTGAAAATAAGAGCTTACATTGTTTTATGCAATTATAAATCATTAAAGGAAGGGAAAGAATGTTAATTAAGATCCTTTCCTATCAGAGAGACCTTCTTGAAGTTACTCTAAAAAAGGCTGACCTATGAAAACATTCACTTCACTCCGAAATCTGTCCTGTTTCCTGAGGCTCAATAAATGACTATCACAAAGCAGGAGGAAACTTTACAGAGCTACAGATATGTGAAATTAGTGATACAAACATACACTGAGAACACTGGGACTTATACACACCACCAGGGTCTGCTGGGGAATGCTGTGTGACTTTACTCCAAGGGCCTGCCAGAAGTTCTCCTAGCAGTAACAATTATAGACAATGGATGATACCATGAGCAGCTACAAGGGGGCTTCAGAAAGGTCACAGAAAACTTTTTTCATTCCAGTCTTCCACAAACTTTCTGAAGCGCCCTCGCACTGGTGCTGATTTCACTCCTTCTCATACACAGACAGACATCATTTCTGCTGGCTACAGAATTGGTTTAAAATCAGACTGCAATTCTAAGAGCACCCCAGTGACCATCATTTAAACAGGCAGCCCTGGAACATTTTGGCTCTAATCTTTTGAGCAACTGAGAAGGTGGGATGGACTACAGAAAGTTCCCCCACCATTCTTTTTAACAATGATAGTTTCATCTAGAAGCTTTTAAGATATAAGTCAGGTTATCGAGAAATAAATCACTGTTGAGCCTCTCCTTCCATTTGATCTTGGCAGGTAGAACAGTGGAAAACCCATGTCAAGATACCAATGCCCCTCTTTAGTCATCAAGGAAGATTTCAGGTGAACATGACAAACATACATCAAAACCAATGAAATATACTAGAAGTGAGGAGCACGCTCCTGAATGGTGGGGATACTGATCCTTAAGAACCCTTAGATCATGAATACCAACCACTACTAATAGATGGAGACGTTCAAAGCATAATTCTAATCCTATTTTTAAAATACACAATAGTTGGTATAAATGTTTCCTAGGAGAAGTCTGAATGAATTTAGAATGCAGACTGGAGAAGAGCTGTCACTCTGCAAAAGAAAAATAATATCAGCTCAGTCTAATTCTAGAGGGCAAAAACAAGAGCTGATGGGAGGAAGCTAAAGAAACACAAAAAACTGTTGACGCTATTTAAGGAAGAACTTTCTAACAATCTGTGTTCTCCAAAAATGGAACTGGCCGACTCTAAAAGCAGTAGTCTTCCAGCAGAGATTGGGTGGCCATCTGCCAGGGACGGGAACACGGGTGATCTGGCTGAGTCTGCCTTGTTTAATTCTGACAGTCTGGACACAAAGGAGCGTGAATCTAACTGATCACAGTTTGGAAGACGTAAAAACACACTGGATGAAAGATGCAATGAATCATTTCAATCCGAGGCTTTGTCTAGTCTCCTCCTAAAATCTCACAGATAAAAATCATTTAAGTTATTCAAGGGAATTTCTAAATTATCCAGAGTACTTGTAATGCTGGCAATTTCTGGGCATCCCATGCTTGAGAACACATACACACAAGGGTGTGGAGGGACCAAAGAAGAACAGGAAACACTCCAGTCTTCATTATTCAACATCTTGCAGGGGCTTGGGGGGGAGGGGAAGAGAATGTAGGTATGAGGCTAAAATTGGAGACAGCACATAAAATTAAGCTCAGGGCAATCTTAAAAGAACTTAGGTATCTCTGCCTCACTCATTTCTGAAGGACAAGTTAGTTGAAAATTCTATGCATACTCTACAGAGTTTCTGTCAAGTGACATGTTTACAGGGGTGTGTTGTTGTGAAGTGCTGTCGAGTCGGCACTTGTATAGGGTTTCCAAGGAGCAGCTGGTGAGCTTGAACTGCCAACCTTGCAGATCAAACGGCTTTGCAGTCTGGCGCATTAACCCACAGCTCCACACCAGGGGTAGGGGGGTAGATAAAGAGGAGACAGTCCGATGAAGAAAAGAACCGAAATGCCTATGAAAAATAGAATTTCTACATCAGGTTGAGAATCTCTGAGGGTTGACAATAATTTCATGGGGTTCATATGTAGTCCTAGGCCTCTTGTCTTTCTTCACAGCATGGAAAAACCTAACTTATAACTCAAAAATACTGTCCTAGGAATCAAGACTTTCAAGGCTTTTCCAGAGTGCATAACATGAAAGATTACGAACCCTGCAACATGTACCATGTTCACTAGATATGATTCTTTTTCGTTTTCCCACGTTTCCTACCCACCCACCTTTACCCCACACCTCTTGCAATGAAATCGTTCTTTGTTGTTAGGTGCCATTAAGTCCGTTTTAGACTCATAAAGACTTCGTTTGACAAAGTAGAATCGCCTCGTGGAGTTTTTGAGACTGCCGGTTTTTATAGAAGCAGACTGCCAGGTCTTCTGCCTGCAGAGCTAGTGAGTGGGTTTGAAGTGCCAATCTTTCAATTAACAACTAAACAACTACGTCACCAGGGGTCTTCGATAAGAACAGATACTACACTTGTTCCTAACCCAAGTAAATGTAACATGAGGGATATTACCGAAGCATTAGAGATTTATTTCAAGAGCAAACTCCTAAGTGACAATCAGTCTCGTACAACCAACCACCACCACACTCACACAATGACACAGCAATGCCTTTAACGTCAGGTCACTTTTCCTGTAACCTGGTATCAGGGCAACAAGGATGGGAAAGAGGCTCATGGGAAATGATCCTGAAGAAATCCTGGCAACAAGACACCTGAATTAAGCTCCAGCAGTCTCCACTTCAGTCCCAGAGGTGCTGGCTCCAGCTGCCACCTTAGCTAACACAACCCGTGTCTGTGCTATGAGGCATCTTTACTTTGAGAGGGAGAAAAGCCACCTGGATTCATAGGACTTTTTGCTACCTCCTTTCCCATGACCTTTCCCTAAAAGTCAAAGGGAGGAGATTACTTAAGAGACAGGAAGCTATCCCTGACACAGGGAAGATACAGGCAGAGCAGAGCATCTATTGAGGTGGTAGTTCCATTTCAGGAATTTCGAGGCAAGGCGACAGAAACACACAGGGGCCCCAAACACACAGAAGTGTCAAACACTCATATGACCACAAATGCCCAGGACATGATAAATATAATATTCTTCCAATTAGATCTCTTAATTTTCACAGATTTGAAATTAAAAAAAAAAGGCCAACTAAAAAAATTTTTTAACATTCATGTTTTAAAGAACAAACTAAAAAGATGGTCAATGTTTCCTGAAAAGGACAGGAAGTAACTCAGTTTCTGATTCTAAGCTGGGTCCTCATGAACAGAACACTTACCTAGTGTGTCTTTGAGATTTTTCACAAGTGAGCCCTTCTTCAGGCTGTTCTTTCTTTCCACGTAATTGGACGGCACATACCCCGTCTTGTTGGCCACGTTCCTCACCCGCCACCAAGTTTTGGAGTCATCCAGCAGCCAGAGACGCTCATTCTTCTTGATGTCAAGTTCCTGGTCCTGCTGGGCAGTGTAATCCCACTTTGCTATAACAATGACTTCTTCTGTCATTTTTCATGGAGTCCTTCTGCCGGCAAAACATTTGGAGAGGTTCATTAGAGAATCATTCAAACACTTGACCCTTTGCATCAGCTTGAAAAGTTATGCATTTACAGTGTTTATTACAACTCTGCTGCAACCAGTTTTCTCCTGGGTCTTGAAATATTCAACCTTAAAATACCTCCTTTCAGCAAGCTTTAGTATTTTGTTTAGAAATAGCAACCTTACGAAACAGACCCTATAGTGATGCTCACTGTACACTGGAAATTCGGCATGTTTCTCTGCCAAGAAAAAAACACGAATTTTCAAACAAAATGTCATTGAATGTGTTCATCTGATGAAGTAACACCAGCTCCTTATATCTGACATGTTTACATCCGTTTCCTTAGGCGAGGCTAAATTCTAAGAACATATTTATTAATAAACACAATATACACCCAAACTGCTCCTGTATGCAAAAACAGATGTAATACTAATTGCAACGTGGTATTCTGGATTGGATCCTGAAAGAGAAAAAGGAAACTGGTGGAAATACTGGAGAAATCCAAATACTGTCTGGAGTCTCGTTAACAGTGATATACCAAGGCTAATCTTCTTGATTTGATATACGTACAAGTATTATGTAACACGCAAACACCAAAGGAAGCGAGGTGAAAGATGTACGGGAATATGCTGTAGTATCCTGGTAGGTTTTCGGTACATATGAAATTATCCCAAATAAAAAGTTCACTATAACTAACAACAAACATATTATGTATCTAGTGAAGTACCTAGCCAAAAGCATACCTAAATAACTAAAATGAATATAGTTATTCATTTTAATGAACAATTCAGCAACTTCATATCTATTAGGCAGAAAATACCCAGCACTTTTTCAGCAGGAAAATTCAATATTTAGTCCTCCAACTAACTAGAAGTTTCTCCAAAAACCAGGAAGAAAAGGAATAATATTCTGGATTTTAACCCCCCTGCACTGCTGACAAAGAGGAGTTTCCATTACCTTATAAGGCTGACTTCAGAAGTACAGATGGCACCTATACACTTAATTCCTTGGAATCATAAATTCTATTTTAAAAGAACATGACACTTTCTACCATACACTAAAGAAACTTATAAATAATATATGTTTTCCCTCCATCATGGATTAACTTCCAAATTTAGAGATAACAAATCTTTTGGGAAGAAGGAAATGTTTAATAAACCTTATGCATAATGTATTCAAATATCCAAGAGGATATTGTATACACAAAGTACATTTCAAAAAGAGGCAATTTTGTTACCTACTTTCAGAAAATCTTACGTCCATGACCATGTGTTTCCAACCTGACCTTTGTGGGCTTTGAAAGTCTTACAGGCAGTTTTTCTTTTTCTTTTTAATAATAACAAGAAGGGCTAGAGTCACAGGAATGCAGTTGAGAAGAGATTTCCATTTGAAAACTAGGTTTGATCTTTAATTATACCATTTCTGAAAACATTTCCAGTAAGAACAGTCCATTAAGACCAGTCAAGATCTACCTAAACAAAAGTAATTTATTAATGTTCTATTTAACGAACAGCAATTAAATAAGGAGCTGGGCATGGTCTATTTCAATGGTTCTCAAGCCTGACTGTACATTAGCATCACATGGGAAGTCCTTAAAAAAATGCACTCACCTGGATTCTACCCTATACCAACTTACATGAGAATCTGTGGGATGAGATCAAGGTATCATTAGTTTGTTAACTCTCTCTGGGAGAGTCCGACAGGCAGCCAGAGTGGAAACCCACCAGCCCAGACAAAGGAGGTGACACCTGGCTTGGCAAAGGCCCTGGGGCTCCAGTGCTAATCCCAGTCAGGTTGCTGGGTGTCCTAGAGTCCATTCCAACTCAGAGACCTCACGGGACAGAACAGAACCATCCCACAGGACTTCCTTGGTTGCAATCTTTACGGAAGCAGATCCCAGGTCTTTTTTCCTGCAGAGCCACTCAAAGATGGGGTTTCAACCTTCAACGTTTCAGTTAACTAAATGAGATGCTTAACCAATGCACCACTGTTGTTGTTGCTGTTAAGTGCAGCTGAGTCGGTTCCAACCCATAGGGACCCTATATAAGGTTTCAGATGAGTGGCTAATGAGTTTGAACTGCCAACCTTGCAGTTCTAATGACCTTGCATTCCAGTGCTTATCCTACAGAGCCACACCAGTGGGGGTGGTTGGTGGTTATGTGCCATGGAGTCAGTTCTGACTCATAGCGACCCTGTACAGGGTTTTCGAAGATGTAAATCTTTATAGCAGCAGAAACTCTCATCTTTCTCCCATGAAACGGCTGGTAGTTCCAAATTGTTGACCTTGAGTTTAGCAGCCCGACTAGTAACCACTACGCTACCAGAACCAATAGCAATAGGAGAGTGGGAGGTTGGGTTTTCTCAGCACTCCACCTCAACAGGTTCACTGGGTCAGGCAGCCAGGTGAACATCTGCAGTGCGGTCAGGAGATGGCTCATTCTTGTACTCAGCAAAACAGCCATCCGCATGAGGGAAGAGGTCTCAAGGTAGTCCAATTGCCCATCTCTCTTTCTTCTCCCTCTGTTTGCTCTGTTCTCCCTTCTGTGTCTCTCTGTTCTGCTTCCCCTCACATGGGGGAAACTCCTTATGTACTACTACAGAACAAAGAAGACATCTTGCCAAATATGGCACACTGTTTATCTAACAGGGTGACATCATTCTAATATGGCAACATAAATAGTAATGACTTAGCATTCCTGGCTTCCATTGGAACCACTGAGTCTTCCCCAACTGGAAGGAGAGGGTCTCCGGACCACTCCCTGGCTAGCACCACCTTCTGATCCAAAAGACTCCTTAATCACAATCTTGGCAGGCAAAAGCCAAACAAGACTGCAGTGAAGACATGCATGTGCAGCTTAGGAAACTGCACCTAACTATGGCCAACTCCTACTTGTCCTCTAACGTTTGGTACATTTGCCCTCACTTTGAAAAGAGTGAACCAGCCCTTACTTGCAGCAGACTCTCTGTCACAATCACTTTCACTTGTTGCACGTGCAGATTTTAGATCACTGGGGAGTCCTTTAGGGCAGAACAGCACTGCCCTGAGGGTTCTCAAAGCTGTGAACTTTACAGAAGCTGAGTGCCACCTCTTTCTCCCATGTGACGAGAAAATACAAAAAACCAAACCCAATGCCATTGAGTCAATTCGACTTACAGTGACCCTGTGCAGGGTTTGTTGTTAAATGACTTTAAGTTGGTTCCAACTCAGAGTGATCCCGAACAGGGTTTCCAAGGAGGGACTGGTTGAGTTTGAACTGCCACCCTTGTGGTTCAAACTGACCTTGTGGTCCAATGCTTTATCCCACACCAGGCCCCCTGTATAGCACTTATGAGACCGTAAATCTTAACAGAAGGCAGCCTCACTACCAGAGCTACTTTATAGTGGAGGTAGGGAGGGATCTAATCTAATGTGTGGTCTGTATCTTGATAGGTTTATTCCCACTTAAGGAGGCTTCCTGCTCCCATAAAGATTTACAGCCTCAGAAACCCTGTACAGGGTCACTATGATTCAGAACTGACACCACGGCACATAACAACAACAACAAAGGCATCCTGACAGTGTTTCTCTGCTACTCATAAGGTTTTCAGTGACTACATATTCGGAAGTAGTCAGTCACTCCTTCTACCTAATATGTCTTCATCTGGAAACTCATCTGAAACCTGTCCACCATGGGTGACCCTACTGGTATTTAAAATACCGGTGGCATAGCTTCCAGAATCACAGCAACTCACAAGCCACCGCAGCATGACAAACTGACAGACGAGTGGTGGATATGACCAAGAGCCAATGATACTAATAATTACACTGAATGTAAATGGATTAAATGTACCTGTTAAGAGACAGAGGATGGCAGAATGGATAAGAAAACAAGATCCATCAATATGCTGTCTGCAAGAGACACATCTCACACACAGAGACAAAAACAGATTAAAAGTCGAAGGATGGAAAAAAATATACCAAGTCAATTGCAATAAAAAGCAAAGAGGAGAGGCAAAAAACCAGCATAAAAGATAAAGATGGAAATTATCTCATGATTAAAAGGGACAATTGAACAAGATGAAATAACCATAATAAATATCTATGCACACAATGAAAAAGCTCCAAAATATATAAAGCAAACTCTAATTGATTTGAAGAAAGAAACAGATGAATCTACAATAACAGTGAGTGATTTTAATACAACGCTTTCAAAAATGGATAGA